GTTCGAACACATTTTAAAACTCGTTTTCCTAACGAGCTCGAGTCAAGTTCGACTCGAATTAAACTCGAGTCGAGCTCGGCAACCAAATACTCGGCTCGACTCGGCTCGATTAACAGCTCTAATTACCATCCCTAAAGATGTCTCCTACTGAAGTCAATTCTCTCCTTCAGAAAGAGCAAAGCAATTTAATGCAGACAAATAAACACTGGACCTACTTGACCTAATTCCATTTGATCCCAATCAAAAGCTGCCTACCCGTATGAAAATGGTGCTTATGATGTCCCTTTTTCCAAGTTTCCACATTGGATTTGATCTGAAAAGGGCCACAAACGAAAATAGACATAATGAAAACAAAAAGAAATCTGTGTGGCCGACGTTTGCCCGCATCGAAAGGGTCTTCAATAGTCCAATTCATATCTGAGTGAGGTCTATCTACACAGTAGTGTGGGTCCATAGAGAAGCAATTGCCTTATTCCTCCGTTGCCCAAACTTTTGTGCCCTGGGAAGCAGGAAATATTCCGTCACAAGACATCTTCTTCCAACACATATTTTGCATTATAAAGCATTGTCGCTGGTGTAAACCGTCGGATTGGATTACGCTATGTTGAAGAGTGTTTCTGAATCAGGCGAGTTTTTTTTTTTAATCTTATCAAGAATGCTGTTTCATCCCTTTGAGATTTTTGTTTTTTTAAAAATTTTAGCAAAAACGAATAGGTTTTAAAAAGCAGAATGGGAGAAAGGAAATTTGAATTAAGAATCTTTAAATATTGAAATTTCAACCTTAATTACTAAATTAAAATCTTTTCAATTACTTAAAACTCATATATATGAGGATATGACACACGACTTTAAAAAATATTGTTGTAATTATGCAAGCTTAAACATATTAATTTCATCATAATCATCACGTTAAGCAAACAGAGTTTTTTTATTGATTCATATCTAAAGACATGATTTGACAATCGAATGAACCAACAAATAGTTTACAAGGACAAGACAATGCTAAACTAGGTCTCGTTTTCAAATTACACAAATTAGTTCTAAAAGTGAGCTGTTGCAAACTTTTGTGTTTGGATTGCATTTTTCTAGATTTTTTGTAAAAAAATTACTGTAACGATTTGATATATGTGAGGTAAAAAGATAATTAAAAAATATATCCACAAAAAACGTAGTAATTTTTCTTTAGAAAATTGCTGTCCAAACAAGGATCTTTCCTTTTCTTTTCCCACTTTTTATCATGAAAAAAAGAAACATTTGAATGTGATGATATCAATGACATGGAAGTCACTGAAATCTCCGTGGCCCACAAGCACAATGTCAATTGGATTTAACCAGCTGGGCTTCTCTTATCGGCCACCTGCCTACAGATCGGTTGTCCTTCACAAAGATACACAATTGCTTTTGCAAATTCAATTGATTACAACCGTATATAACAAATGCTTTTTCACACTGAGACAATGCTAAACCAACTTATGGAATCTGCTCAAAAAATGATATTCAACTTTGGAGAATATATCATTTGGATAGAGTAGTATTTGAAATTTATTTGAAATAATTATTGTAACACTTTTTGTGATACGATATATATGAGATAAAAAGGTAGTTGGAAATTTAAAAATAAGTATTGAAAAATGTGTTTATGATGCAAGCGAAATATTATTTGAAAAAAAAAAAGACATCCATATCATTTTTGGAGAATATCACCTATCAACAAAAACTTACAAGCCATCTTTCCTCCTTCTCTCTAGAAAAAATTCTCTAACTAAAATTCCCTTCAACTCTTTCATGGGAGAGAGATCAAATTTTTCTGATATTTCCCCATGGGAGAATCCCTCTCTATAGTTTTTTTCCATTTGTGTGAATAAAATCTCTCTTAGGATTTTCTATCGAGAGTTTCTTCTCTCCATAGATTGTCTAGTGAGAGTTTTTTTCTCTCCAAAATTTTTTAATGAGAATTTTATTTTTTTTTAAGGATTTCTAGTGAGAGTTTTTGACAATTTTTTTACTTCCTTTTATTAGATCAGAGTCATTTTAGATTTTGATTATCAGATTTGGAATTTTTTGGATCCACCATAATATTTGGACTTGAAACAGTTAATCAGCAAATCTGACGATTGGAAACATGCACAGATATCCGTGGAACTATGGTTATTTTATCTTATTTTAAATTTAGAGATTTATAATGTAATTTTTATTGTTCTTCAAATCTGGAGTATCCTTTCTTCAGATATGTTCTTTAATATCTGTGTATGTTTGATAATGTAATTTCTGCCATTAGTGCAAATTTTAATGAAATTATGATATTTTATCAAAACAGAGAATTAAATATCCTAGATTCTAATGTCCCTACCTCCTTCTCACTTTTTAAATCTTATCCCTCCTCTTTATATATATATATGTGTGTGTATGTGTACACTATAGCGGTACTGTACACTGTAACAAACAGTTAAAATCACTATAGCGGATACTGTAACATCTCAAAAAATTTGCTATAAATATCCCTCAATCCCAACACATAGGAAAGATCTAAGCTAGTTATCGTTCCATTAGAAAGATCTAAACTTGTAGATCTACACTAACAATATTATAATAAGTAAAGAAAGATAGCCAGCACCCCAAGCTACAAACTATTTAAAGAAAGATTTGAACCTCCAAACAACTATATTTCGTATATATATATATATATAAAGACTGATTAGTACGAGAGCAATTACAACCCTTATCAAGCCTCTTCATAAAGATGATATCGAACCAGACTGGCCGGTTCGACCGGTCAAACCACGAACGGGTCATAGATTCGATCTGATTTATATTTGGGGTTAACTAGACTTTAAAACCGGATTGATCGTTGAACCAGTGATTTTTTTGTTTTTGTTTATTAAATTGAAAAAAAATTAAAAAAAGAATAGGTTTTCCTTAACATTAGAGATTAATTATTAAATGTCACATCCACTCACTTTCTTCTCATTTTTTGTCTCTTATCAAGTTTGTATTTCTATTTTCTATTTTCTTGACTTCTTCCAAACTCCAATCTTCTTTTTCTTTAAGTTGCAATCTTTAAATATAAAAAATGTGAATTAAAATTTAAACTCACAATGTCTAATTCCCATAGATGTGAATTTTGTATAATTTTAGAATATTGTGGTATTTTTGGATTGGATATAAGATTATTTTTTTGGTAAATTCAATTAAGATTGAGATGGAAATTTATTTGTTTCAACTTTTAATTTTAAAAATTTATTTGTGAAAATCCAAGTTCTTTGAAAATATTAAACTTTTCATCACATAAAGTTTTAAATTAGTCCAATGCATGTCTTATTTTGTGCATATATATTTATATAAATTATTTTTAAAAAAATTTATTGAACCAAGGTTGAACCGGTCCAATCGGTTGAACCTCGACACGACAGTCCAGCGGTTCAATCAATGATCCGATTTTCAAAACATTGCTTCATACATGCACATTATTAATCCATTTTTGGACTCTTGCTTTGTAATTTATTTAATGGTAGAAACAACTCTTGAACATTGATTTATCATATTTCCCATCCTCACCATCACTCCTCAATTTTGCACCTAATCAGTTTGATTGTCTATGTGAGGCATGTAAAGTTTATAGTTAATGGACCCCTTCTCTTTTGGGACCGTGGAAAGGTAAAAAAAAACCTATCTAAGACCTTTTGGTGTTAAACATTGCACTCACGTTACACATTACATTTAAAAAATATTATGCAGTACTAGAATTCAAAGGTCACTTGAATGATAGGGAATGAATGGATTGGGTGGTTTGAAGAAAAGAAGTGTAAGCGTTGGATCTCAAATTTGAACTCTCTCACTTATATTAAAAAAAAATTTGAAAAAAAAAGGCTAATTGAATGGTAAAGACTAACAATATTAGAAAAAAAGGGTCATTTCACAAACCTTCCCTGAGGTTTATATCTTCCTCTCATGTTTTTACTAATTATACAATAATGTAGGTCCAAGTTATCTTTTCTCTCAAAAATTCTAAATTATCCTTTATACAAAAATTTTAAAAAAAGTATATATAGTCATTTTCTTCCACGCTTTGCACAAACCGGTCATCTACAACCATAACAACTATCCAAATATAAACTTCAATTTCAAATCCAAGTAGCCTCCAAAAATTCCCAAATTACCTATAAAGCATCAATGCTTGCCACTAAAAACAAAACACTCTGTTGACAACCAATTTCATACCCCAAAATTAAAGTCAATACCAAACACCTTTCCAATATAAGTTAATCTAGTTTAGAACCACCATTGCAACACTCTCACATCTTCAAGAATATTAACATTTCAGAAGTAGAAAATAAATTCTACCTCCATAGGAAAACCATAACCAACTTTACTAATTTAATGAAAGAAATTCTTAAACAATTATTAACAGTTTGCAAACATTTTTCTTAATAACAGACAAAATAAGGCAAATTCCCCTATTAGTCCTTTCTATTCCAATCATCAATTTCATTATTTAATTCTCTTTATCTCTTTCTGGTTTGACATATAGTTTGCTCCATCAATTGAACTATTAATTTTACAATTTCAATATGCTAATATCTATAAAACTAAAGATGAAAAAAAGAGATATAACAGTATAGTGATTAGGAAACAGAGGGATGGAAATACAAAAGAGATAGAGAATGGGATTTTTTTTTTTTTTTGGGTTTTGAAAATCTATTGCCTTGTATTGTTAATTGTCTACCAAAGTTAGTGGCATTATAGATACTTTACAGTGCCACGGGAGGTAAATATAATTATTTAAACTTGAGGAGAGCTGAGTGAAATTATTAGAAATCTTAAGGAATGTTTCTAAAATTATTCCTATAAAAAAGGGTAAATTGAACTTCTGACACATATCATAATTCCTGTAAATAAAAATTTAGATGTGGTTAAACCAGGTACAATTGCTTAGATTCTTCGGAACCTTTGTAGGAAGAACGTGTTAGTAAAAGTAATCATACAAGCACTCACCGCGGGCATAAACTAAACTAGCTATACATGATCTGTAATGGAATTCTCCAAGAAAGTGCATGACAATTGTACAGTGCATGACAAGAAATGATCACCATTCCCAGAAAGTGAAACTGAATCGAATCAGCAAACACTAGAGATGTATACAACAGTCCTTTTCAAGAACTAATAAAAATATGTTGATTAGATAAGTTAATCAAGCAAAAGTACAAGCCAAAAGTTCTCATAAACTATTCTATGTACAGCTTTGAATACAGTCAAAGCTTCTCTTCCATGTTCCCAGAACGCAAATGATTCTTCTCTTCTTCTTCATTTTCTTTTTTGGGTGAATTCTTCCCTTCTACTTAAATCAAAACAGAATCTAACTTTTTGCTTTTCCAGTCTCCATCACCAACTACTTATCAATTTTCCTTTAAACTGCAGAAAGGAGGCATGTCCTACATTGAGCCTTCTGATCCACAACTTTTTTGGTTGAAGCATGTACACTTCGCACGATTATCTGATAACGTCTACTTGTTCCCAAAAAAACAGAAAAGGTCATTTTCATTTCACTTAAAAATAGACTTAAATTAATGTAGGATTTGTACTTGTGTTATGAATGATAACAGCCTTAGGAGGTACCTTGACTTGCTTTTGAAGATCTTTAATGTATTCAACAGCTAAATCCAACATATCTGCCGTGTTTGTTTGCTGCAAAAAAAACAGAAAATGCAGAAAGGAAAGGATAAGCATTCTACCTTGTTATTAGGGTAAATATTGAGGAAAGCACGATTAGAAATTGCATAGATCAAATGTTATCAGGGTAAATATTGAGGCAGCATTCTACCTTGTCCATATTGGGAACAAGCTCTTGCAGCTTTCTCATCCGTTCACTTATTTTGGTTCTTCTTACCTGAAATGGATTACATTTAGATCAAATACTAAACATATTCTTCTTCTTTTTTCCTTTTGGTTAATCATGCCTTGATTTTTTATTTCTTTCCTGTTTTAGAGTTCAATCAGTCCAATCTTGGCACGACTTGTACAAATTTACAAGCTTGTAACAGGATAATAAGTACTGATTGAAAACAGGGATAACAGGATAATAAATTCTAATCAAGATTCCAACAAACATTAAATGTGTATTGTATTAAAGAAGAACAAGAAGAAAATCAGATTCTGAAATTGATTAGAGGTCCAACCCTTTCAGCAATGCTCCGTGGATGAGTTGCGCAGCCCCTCTTTGCTCGAAGTTTGCAAAGTACCGAATCTTGCATTAGTGTCTCAATAGCAGACAACTCATCAGAAGTATTTGGCAAACTCAAGTGATGAGCCAATAGAGTGGAAGGACGATTTCGACCTTCATTGTTCTGATCAGTAAACTGATATGCAATTAGATTGAGATCAAAGGCAACAGACAACAGCATTAGAGCATAAAACTGTACCTGGTTTTCTGATGCAACTGCATTGGACAGTGTCTTGCTATCATCATCATCATCTCCAAGGCCTTTCAAGAAACTATCAGACAACAAAGCTGAATCATCCCAAGAAGTAACTGGAAATCCTGTTATATAACCAGAATCATTTCTTTGACCTTCCCCAAATTTTTTGTCTCCAAGATTGTTGTCTCCCATGCCTGTACTGTCAATTTCGGATATGGGAGACATAAGGCCAGAAGAAGTTGCTTGAGCTGATGAAAAATCCATTTGACTTTTGAACCTGCTTGCAGAAGAAAATGATGCTTCTGCATTAGCATTATTACCAGCTCCAAAATTCCCCATGCCTCTCATTGCACCATGCTCTGTAATTTGTTAAAAAATTTCAGCAGCATTCCAGTTGTGAAGTTGTCATGAAAATAACTCAAAGGCCCTAATATACAAAGTCAGGTGCCTAAGCTTATGCTATGAACAAAATCCACTTCTGGTCTCTTACTAGATCTTCAAGCAAGTTTGTCATCTTTAGAGCAGAAGTTAGACTGTAATACCCCTGGCCTCACCTTCTACATTTGTCTGTTTTTCTTATTCATTTGATGTTCTTTAAAGCACTTGCGTTTATCACATCTAACACATCCTTAACATATTAGTCTACAACAGTACAAACAGAAGCGATCCTTGAGCCATCCAGACAGTATGAATTTATTCACCAAATTTGCAACAGAAAAATATGGAAAAAATTCAAAAGCCATATTTCTTTATCTATTTCAAATCCATTAAGATGCAAACCTTGATTTCAAGCACCAAAGAGAAAAAAAAAATAAAAAGAAAAATCCACAGCCAAAAGATTTGTCCCAACTATCATTTGAAGCATGATTATATACAAATCAAAGAAAATTAAGCAAGAAGGAGGATTAGGAGCTAGAAAATATACCATTTTCTATGTTAATGTTGGCAAATAATCCAGCCGGTGAACTATTATAACGAATCAGATTTGAAATACCACCACCACTCTCAATCTTCGTTGGTGTCAATCGGTTGGAATTTACAGAGCTCAGCAATCTGTACGAGTTATCCCCAGCAGATGCGTTCGACAACTGGGTATTATTAGTATTCTGTTGTACTTGAGCCTGGCTTTGATACATCATCTGCTGCGAAATCTGAGAATAATCATTCTGATTTGTCTGCTGTAGCTGCTGCAGTTGCTCTGGCTGCTGCATAACCTCTGCCTCTTGTTTCATTGATGCCACAAACTGAGATTGAGACTGCTGCATATTCATGCTATTAGCAAAACTATTATTGGAATTTGAGTCCTGTGCCTGAGCATTAACCCGATTACTAGGCATAAATCGATTGAGAAAGTGATCAAGATCATCTCCTCCAAAGCCACCGCCACTCCTAGGAATGATATCAGCAGCAGCATCGAAAAAGCTAGAAAAGTATGAACTAGGTGCAGAACGATAACGAGTCAAACCACCACTCATCTGTTGGTGCTGATTGCTGCGCTGAAAATCCATCAATTCTGGACTAACAAATTTAGGCACAGAGTAAGAGAAGAAGGAAATTTTTGTCTGACTTTCTCTAATTATACAAAAAAAATCAAGAAAATCGCATCTCAAATTCTACACAAGAATGAAGAATTTGATGGCGCATAATCAGATCTCACACAACTCCAGAAGAGAATATGCCTGTATCCAGTTAATCATGCATATGTATGTGTGAAAATCACTAGCAATCCTCAAATATAAGAAACGTAAAGAGCGTGAAAAGGCTCTCACTTTTTCTTTCAGCCAAGTACAATCACTGAACACAACAAGAAAGGATAATGATTGCCAAGAAAGTGGATTAAGGACAAAAAAACAGAAGAACGCAAGAAACATAAAAACAGCAAAGTTCAGTCACTGAATATGGGGATTTCTGTACTTTCCACCTTTCTTTCGAAAAATGAAAGTGTTTTGGTATAGGAGGAACAAGGTTGCAGGTGACGGAGAAGGCTTAAAAAAGGAGAGAGGAAGAGAGAGATGATGAGTAAGTGAAAGTCTTAAAGAAGTCCAGCCAATGAGAACTAAGGTCACCCTGCGATCTGGGTTTTCTGGGCATTTCAGCGCAGAGTATAAAAGGACATTATTTCTTTTTCTTTTATTACAAAAATGGTTTCGACCGTATACCTCAGCTGTTTTTAATGTGTTTGGATAAGGTATTATTTGAAATAATTAGATTTTATTTGGAAAGAAGTTTTTCATAAAATTTTTTTTATATTTTTCGTAAATATATTTTTTAATTATTTTTTTATCTCACATATATCAAATCGTTATAGTACATTTCCTACAAAAATTTCAGAAAATTGCAATCCAAACACAATCTTACTATAGCATTTTTAGTGATTTAATGTATGTGAAATAAAATGATAATTGAAAATAAAAAAATGTGAATTAGAAATTATATTTATGATACAAACAAAATATTATATGAAAGGTTTCCAGTGCGCTGTACTTTTATAAGGAACAGTAGTAAAGTATCTAACTTTCACCACTGCTTCTATTTAGTTTAATTTAAATAATTATTTCAAGTAATTATTTTAAATAAATTTATTTGCAAATTTTTATTTATTTGCATCATTAACACATTTTTTAATCACATTTTTTTTTTCACATACATCATTAAAAAAAGTGTTATAGTATTTTTAAAAAAATTAAATAATCTAATATCCAAACACACTCACGTACTAATGTGGTTTGGATTTTAAATCATTCGGGAAGTATCTACAAATCTACAGGTGGAAATATCTAAAATGTAAGGATTAAGAAATAAAATAATGATAGACTTCAAAAAAAATTAGTGGGTAAAAGTTGCGTCTAACTCTCAAATCACAGCGTGTATCATTTATCATATTTTACTGAGTACAATGATTTTGTCGTTCCACATTAATCTTTAGCACTCTACTCTTCCTTTTCATTGAAACACTCCCATAGCCCCCCTTTTTTCCCCCAAAAGGCTCCCCTAACATTCTAGTTTGTAAACGTCCCGTTACATATTTAAAAACTGCTAAGTACTTTTATCTTTTTAATTTCTTATATGGTTCTCAATGTTCATTTATGACTTAATATTCAATGCCCTACTTTTAAGCAATAAGATCTTTTTCTCAATTACCAAGTTATCAAAGCAATCTATGAATAATTCTCTAGTTTCGGCAAGAACTTCCTGCGAGGTAAATACATTTTCATTGATATTTTATTTATATTGTTTGATTAGCTTTACATTGCCACCAAAATTTTTGTTATTTGGGGTTAAAAATAAAAATCACTATTTGCAATACACCCCCTAAACTTATGCCTAAGTTGCAATTAGGGCCCTCAAATGAATTTCTTTTGGTAGTTTACTCTTTGACCTAGGGTTCAATATTCACCATCTAGTTAAATGTATATAATTGACAAATCTTCTTTTGGAGAAACTTGGAATTTCCACTTCTTATTATTGCTCGAGGATGAAAAAGATGAATTAACAACTCAATTTTCTTCTGACGTTGAACTGCCTCGGGCCACAGGAATCTAGAAAAGTCAAAGCTTCCTTGGTGGTAAAAGTAGCAACACGAATATGTGGTGGATATTTGATGCTGTGCCAAAATTTTGATGAATTGGAAAGTTAAGGGTTTAATTTTGTCTTTTACCGTTTGTTATAATATGGGATTTTTTTAAATATATATGGATACATAATATATCCATTTGATCGATAATGGTTCGAATCCATCGTCTCTCCTATAAGTTCAATTGGACCTTTTGTAACATCCCGAATATTAGGAGGTTGTTTGTGAAAAAAATATTAAAGTGTATTTCTTTGGGTTGATTTAAAACCTTATTTTGGTTTAAAAGACTAGAAACCCTAATATTGTAGCCAAAAACCCTAGTTTACTTGTGACTAACCGGTTTTCCTAAATGTCTCATATTTTAATTGAAACCCTAATTTTAATTACTGGAATTGGAAAATTCCTCACGTTTTCTTAAAAATTTCTTTTTATTTGAAGATTATCATTTATTAAAGCCCTACTATCCAATTATTCCATGATAAGTGTAAATAAACCTAGAAAATAAGGTTTACGCTTCGGTTTCAAGTTTGGAGCAAAATTAGGGTTTTCGCGATTTTTCGCCGGATGAATTTTCGGTACAGAGCAAGGATTAAATTTGGTGAATAAAAGTGACTTTTAAGTGAGAAATAATATGTGATTAGGAGAAATGAAATAAAGTTAGTGAATGGGAAGTAAAAACCCTAGTGCGGGTGTTTTTAAGGAAAACGGCGCGAACCGACGGGTCCCGCGCACTACCGTTTGAACGCACCACTTGACCACCACTTTCTTGCACCACAAGCTTATTGATATTTGAGCCAAAATATCTTCTTATATTCCAGCTAAGGGGACCGAAATTTGTGGCTTATAAGCAAGGGGAAGAAAGAGAAAAAATTAGTGGCTAAGAATTGTCCAAGTGTTAGCCAAATTGTGGTCTTAATTAACTCTAACCTTCTTACTTCTTATAAGACAAAAATCAGCTTCATTTCTCTTCATTTTCTGCCAAGGGAGCCGAGAGAGGGAGAGGGAAGAACAAGAGTGAGCTTTCTTCATTTCTTCTTGATTCAAGCTACAAAGTGAGGAATCCAAAGAACTAAACCGATTAATCTTGTCTTTGAGGGGTTAGATAGTGTTTGGTGGTGAAAGTTTGGCAAGGGAAAGCTTGGGGCTGCCCTTAGTGATCTCTAACCAAGGTAAGAGAGCTTATCTCTCCAAGTTTTAGTTTCAATCTTGTTCAATTAAGCTTGGTAACTTGATTTTACGGTGAAATCATGGATGATTAACATGTTTTAGTAGTTTTCCCCTTTCTTATTTGATGAACTAGGGCTTGGGGAAATTCTGCCCAAATTGTTGTAAGATGCTTATATGTTGCAATTGAAGTTTCATAAGGTGTTGTGGTAGTGATTAGACCAAGAAATTAAGGAAAGATTCACTAGAAACCGAAAATTTCAGAATCTGGAAAATTATTGCCAACTTTCTGTCCGAAATTTTAACTGTATGTTAGAGGCTGATTTGGCCTTGGGTCAAAGAAGGAAAGTTGTAGAGAATGGTATTTTATCGGTGCCTATAAAATTTCAGCTCAATCGGAGCAACGTAGGTCATGAAAAGTCCGAAATACCCCTACTGTTTTAATTGTTTCCCAGCAGTCCGTTTCTTCAGCTAAGTTCAGTTTATCGCATTTTTTGACCAGGATCCATTCTGATTTAGCTCTGGGTCAAAACATGAAATTTGTAGTGTTCTGAAGTAGCTTTAAAATGCCTCTAAGAACACCTGAATTGGACTTTTGTACACTGAGTTATGTCCATTACAGTGTTCTGCATTTAAACAGCCGACGAATTGGTTTCTGGTTTAGTAATTCGAGAATTTGACTAAGTTACATTAGGAACTGGACTAAGTGACCTTCATGAATGTTGTATCTCTGTGTCTTAGCTTCGAAACGGCATAGGTTTCGTTTTAATCTGATAAGCGTAGCCTCGGATATGTTATTTCCGCATTTGTACGTCAAATCTGTCTTGAACTAAATTGAATTTCTGCACTTGTACTTAATGCGATTCTTGTTGTTATGATATTGTGAGCCTATGGAACGGCTCTTGACATAAATTGCTGATATGTATGTTGTTGGGCTGTTGTTGAAGAAAAATAATGAAGCCTAAATGGCTGGAAAATTAGGTAAACACAAAGGGCATGCTGCCCAAATTTACGCTCGAGGACTATATAAATACACTTGCGACTTGGGTCGAATTGATATGAATAGTACTTAAACCATCTAGGGTACTTGAGTCTTCTTGTTCGAGGTATATAAGTAAGGACTTGGCCGAACTTGTACCCTTGAGAAATGAAATAATGATTGCTCGAAGTATGTTTTCCTTGTACTTCAACTCGCAAGACAATTTCAAGTATAAATGTTACAAAGTTTTATCATTTAAAAAGTGAGCGAGTATCTCACGAGTATTTTCCAAGTGAATTTCAATTTCTTGATTCTTATTGAACGAAACGTCTAAGTTTCGAACTCTAGTCATGTTTCAAAGTTCTCAAACTGAGTTTTATCGCAGATTTGGACTCCGAACCGGAGTATAACCTGAAAGTGACCAGTAAAGGCACTATATCTTTTGGTGAGTGCTTTCAAATACCGAATTGAACTTGATACTTGAACTTGATACGTGACCAATCTGATTACATGTTATATACGTGAATTGTAAGGGCAAGAGTGTACTTTATCGCACTTGCCCTTACGTGATATACTTGTTTATTGTTGCAATTGACTTGATATACTTGTTTATGGTGCGCGCACTTCCTGGAATTCCAGAAACCCTGTGGCGAGTTACTCTAGTCGAGCCGGCAAGGGCTTGGTCGATTGGGTAACGAACCCTGGGTCTCTTGTATTGTCGAGTGGAGTGATATCTCCTCGACTAACGGTATACTCGAGTATTACCACCCGTGTTTATTGAGGATTTTGGGCCCAGCTGGGGGTTTGAACGGTGGACGGAGAGTCGTGTAAGTGGTGTTCTACTGGATTGGTTACTTACTTGAAAGTTGACGGAGTGTCAACTACTACGGGATCAAGCTTCTGGTAATGCCATGGGAATTTGGCTCCTGAGAGTCATCCGTATCCTTATACTTTGGAGTGATTATTGTTTATTGGATTATTGTTTCTTTTGAAAAATTTTTACATTCGCCCATTTTAAGATTTCTACTTGACGTGTTACTGTTCACATTTATGAACACTTTATGCTCGTTACTTTGCTATATCGAAAACTCGTACTTATAAATAATGGTCAATTTGCTATTTGGAACCTCACTGGGCTTTTAGCTCATTCCACTCCATTTGTTTTCCTTTCAGAGGTACGAGCGAGGTGTGAGATATGTAAAGTCTAGCATAGACTAGCTGTTTGATTTTGACTTGTACTCACGCTATTTCTCGAATGGAACACGTTGTATTTGGATTGTATTCGTTTTGATCTAGTTTGGTGTATTGAGACTTCGTACTTCGATTTCTATTAATGTAAATTATAAGCTTGAATTGGGAATGTTATT